TTAATGAATTATTACTTAGTGTAATGAATTATTACTTAGTTTAATGAATTATTACTTAGTTTAATGAATTATTACTTAGTTTAATGAATTATTACTTAGTGTAATGAATTATTACTTAGTTTAATGAATTATTACTTAGTTTAATGAATTATTACTTAGTTTAATGAATTATTACTTAGTTTAATGAATTATTACTTAGTGTAATGAATTATTACTTAGTTTAATGAATTATTACTTAGTGTAATGAATTATTACTTAGTTTAATGAATTATTACTTGGTTTAATGAATTATTACTTAGTTTAATGTATTAGTACTTAGTTTAATGAATTATTACTTAGTTTTTGAATTATTACTTAGTTTTATGAATTATTACTTAGTGTAATGAATTATTACTTAGTTTAATAAATCATTACTTAGTTTTATGAATTATTACTTAGTTTTATGAATTATTACTTAGTTTAATGTATTATTACTTAGTTTAATGTATTATTACTTAGTTTAATGAATTATTACTTAGTTTAATGAATTATTACTTAGTTTAATGAATTATTACTTAGTTTAATGAATTATTACTTAGTTTAATGTATTATTACTTAGTTTTATGAATTATTACTTAGTTTAATGAATTATTACTTAGTTTAATGTATTATTACTTAGTTTAAATAATTATTACTTAGTTTTATAGATTTATTAGATTTATTAGATTATAGAGAGATTCTGTTGTATAGTTATAACACCAGGTAAGTCTACTGATGAACAAAGACTCATTTTAACCAAGTTTAAAAATTCGAATATTTTGGTCATCCTTGGAAGTTGTGTTGTATTTCAGGATTAAAGTTGGATTGTTCTGTTCAACTCCAGCAGTAGAAGTAGGAAGATCATTGCCCAGGAAGATTGTTAATGAAATGCTTTTCACCGCCAAACCTATTAGTGCTCAAGGTACGATTATAACACTTATTTTCCTTTCTTTTTCTACGGATCAAATTTTGACAAATCTTGGTAATATTGTTCAGTTTAAAATAAGTGTATGACTGAAGGTTGAATATTTGATACTGATGATTGTTACTGTACTGCTAAATATCTTTATTCAAAATCAAAGCTGCCAGTGGGCGTATATTACCTTGTCTGGCTAGCTATCTTTAAGTTTAATTTTCACATCAAACATGGTAATAGAATAAATGTAAACCTGATAGATCAGCTGAGGAAACAATTTCCATAGAAATGATCATAGTACATGCCTAGTAGACTTCCCAGAAAACCCTTCCAAATAATCAGTATTCAGCAAAAGAATTGTCTAATCAGCAAACATCTTGAAATTTTAAACGCTATACAAAAATCCACAAATCCAGTTTTTTTTTTTTGCATTTTGCTGATAAGTCTAATCTTCTTAAAGATACAAATGAATTCTTTGATGTTAAAAAAAGGTGGATTTTTCTACCAGGTTAATATTGCTTAAAGGGCAATTCAGTTTGATCAAGTAGATACATAGATATAAATAACATACTTTAGAAATATTTTCAGGTATAATTTACAATGTTTTTAATTAACCCTTTTAAAACAAATTCAGTTTGATCAAGTAGATACATAGATATAAATAACATATTTTAGAAATATTTTCAGGCATAATTTACTATGTTTTTGATAATGAGAATACGGCATACAGCCATTTGAAATTATTTGACTATTTTTCAGATGCTCTATTATATGGTCTAGTTAACAAAGTTGTTCCCCATGAAGAAGTTGAAAGCGAGGTTAATTTCTTTCATTATTCTGACTGGCGTTGTACACCATTCTAACAACAGAAAAGGGTTTTGTGCATCATCCTAACAACAGATAAGGTTGTTGTGTACCATTCTAACAACAGAAAAGTGTGTTGTACATCATCCTAACAACAGAAAAGGGTGCTATACACCATTCTAACAACAGAAAAGGGTGTTGTGCATCATCCTAACAACAGATAAGGGTGTTGTGCACCATTCTAACAACAGAAAAGGGTGTTGTACACCATTCTCACAACAGAAAAGGGTGTTGTGCATAATCCTATCAACAGATAAGGGTGTTGTGCACCATTCTAACAACAGAAAAGGGTGTTGTACATCACCCTAACAACAGATAAGGGTGTTGTGCACCATTCTAACAACAGAAAAGGGTGTTGTACACCATTTTAACAACAGAAAAGGGTGTTGTACGCCATTCTAACAACAGAAAAGGGTGTTGTGCACCATTCTAACAACAGAAAAGGGTTTAGTACACCATTCTAACAACAGAAAAGGGTGTTGTGCACCATTCTAACAACAGAAAAGGGTGTTGTACATAACCCTAACAACAGATAAGGGTGTTGTGCTTCATTCTAACAACAGAAAAGGGTGTTGTGCACCATACTAACAACAGAAAAGGGTGTTGTCCTTAAAGTTTTACAGGCGGCATTTTCTGGTGCCAATTGTACCATGATCTAAAAACGATAATTATTCAGCTAAGGTGCGGGCACACGAACGGCCTTAGTCTGCTATTTTTGTCACCGACTAGAGTCTTGTCATGAGTTTTGTCGTTTGGCTGCGCGCACACGAGGAGACAAAAAATCACAAGTCGGCCGTTTCCACTATGTTTATAATCATATGCAATTCATGTAATTGAAAGGAAATTCATCTGGATGACAGTCTGTCTTTTAGAAGATAAAACAATCAACCACAAATATCAAACTTGTTTCATATTATAAATCCTTTTGGCAACGTGATAATTTTTCGCAGCCGATTGATCAAACTCTTGAAAAGACTGCACCTTAAATCAATTCTGTGAATGCAATAGGTTTTAAATCTCAACCACCCAAACCGCAACATAAAATTTGCGCTAAATTAAGTAAAAAATACTATTTATAGCTCAAATTTTTATAAAGGTTGGGATTTAAAACCCACCGTGTCAGGGTAATTCTGTTTTTTTATTCGTTGTTTAGACGTTGAAAATGGCGAAAGAAATCTGTGAATATAGTAAAAGTGTTATAGCCCTGGGGAAAGTTAGTTTTAATGAACAAATGAAACTGGAGAGAAAAGCTGCCTACCAGTAAGTAGTACCTATATTTTATAGATATATTTTATACTGTGGTGATCTGATGAAAAATAGATTACAATTTTGTTCCGTTAATATTTTTTATCGGTTTCCATAGTAATCAAACGATATTTATATCATGTTATCTTGAATCAAGTCCATCTATAAATGTTTTCATATATAATTATTTTTATTATGTCACGAATTTAAAAAGATACAAGATATCATATGTATTTCATCCTGTCATGAGTCCAATAAGATACAAGATATCATATGTATTTCATCCTGTCATGAGTCCAATAAGATACAAGATATCATATGTATTTCATCCTGTCATGAGTCCAATAAGATACAAGATATCATATGTATTTCATCCTGTCATGAGTCCAATAAGATACAAGATATCATATGTATTTCATCCTGTCATGAGTCCAATAAGATACAAGATATCATATGTATTTCATCCTGTCATGAGTCCAATAAGATACAAGATATCATATGTATTTCATCCTGTCATGAGTCCAATAAGATACAAGATATCATATGTATTTCATCTTGTCATGAGTCCAATAAGATACAAGATATCATATGTATTCATCCTGTCATGAGTCCAATAAGATACAAGATATCATATGTATTTCATCCTGTCACGAATTTAAAAAGATACAAGATATATGTATTTCATCCTGTCATGAGTCCAATAAGATACAAGATATCATATGTATTTCATCCTGTCATGAGTCCAATAAGATACAAGATATCATATGTATTTCATCCTGTCATGAGTCCAATAAGATACAAGATATCATATGTATTTCATCCTGTCATGAGTCCAATAAGATTTTTTTGTTTTTTAGGTTAACTGAAAAAATTATGAGTAGCAACCTACAGCTTCGAGATGGTGACGAGGGCATCAAGTCTTTCATTGAAAAACGTAAACCATCATGGAATCACGGAATTGATGGTGCATTTCGCCAGTAAAATGATGTTGTATATAATTTGGTGTACAATATACTATTAGATATTATACTAGTGTACAATAAGTTCGGAACTATCAATTCGTCAGTAAGATGATGATGTATATAGTTTAGTATACAATAAACTATTATATATTATACTAGGTGATAGTTCGGAACTATCAATTCGTCAGTAAGATGATGATGTATATAGTTTAGTGTACAATAAACTATTAGAATTATACTAGGTGATAGTACGGAACTATCAATTCGTCAGTAAGATGGTGATGTATATAGTTTAGTGTACAATAAACTATTAGATATTATACTAGGTGATAGTTCGGAACTATCAATTCGTCAGTAAGATGATGGTGTATATAGTTTAGTGTACAATAAACTATTATATATTATACTAGGAGATAGTTCGGAACTATCAATTCGTCAGTAAGATGATGATGTATATAGTTTAGTGTACAATAAACTATTATATATTATACTAGGTGATAGTTCGGAACTATCAATTCGTCAGTAAGATGATGATGTATATAGATTAGTGTACAATAAACTATTAGATATTATACTAGGTGATAGTTCGGAACTATCAATTCGTCAGTAAGATGATGATGTATATAGTTTAGTGTACAATATACTATTAGATATTATACTAGTGTACAATAAGTTCGGAACTATCAATTCGTCAGTAAGATGATGATGTATATAGTTTAGTATACAATAAACTATTATATATTATACTAGGAGATAGTTCGGAACTATCAATTCGTCAGTAAGATGATGATGTATATAGTTTAGTGTACAATAAACTATTATATACTATACTAGATGATAGTTCGGAACTATCAATTCGTCAGTAAGATGATGATGTATATAGTTTAGTATACAATAAACTATTATATATTATACTAGGAGATAGTTCGGAACTATCAATTCGTCAGTAGGATGATGATGTATATAGTTTAGTGTACAATAAACTATTATATACTATACTAGGAGATAGTTCAGAACTATCAATTCGTCAGTAGGATGATGATGTATATAGTTTAGTGTACAATAAACTATTATATACTATACTAGGTGATAGTTCAGAACTATCAATTCGTCAGTAGGATGATGATGTATATAGTTTAGTGTACAATAAACTATTATATACTATACTAGGAGATAGTTCAGAACTATCAATTCGTCAGTAGGATGATGATGTATATAGTTTAGTGTACAATAAACTATTAGACCCAAATTGTCGTATAGTAGGCCTAGGCCGATTAACCAAAGCAAATTTTTCTTTCTCTTTCTTCAGACTAGATCGTGTGCTACTGACACTGCTTTTGACACTGACGCTTCCAAAAAGTGATGGAGCTGCATTTTTGGATTTCTGTTCCATACATTTTCTCCCATTTTCAACATGTTTTTCAAGTTCAGCACAATGAATCACCTCCTCATTATAATCTCTAATAATGCTAGTATCCATAGGCCTACTCTCACTTTCTGCAGATTCCAAATATGTATTATACCTTTTCCATTCACACATATATTCCTCATATTTGTGGTCGATATCAGCAAATGTGTCTTTATTCCTGGACCAATTATAAATTTCAGTTCTTAACTTTACTAGGAAATGTTTATGCCCCATCTTACTATTTTTTACTCACTTGTATTGTCACTAACACAACTAGTCACTTTAAATATATATCAGCTTCACTCACTTCTCGGCATCCAATTCTCGCTGCATGTAATCACTTACTTAAACCCAGTCTGTTAAAAAACTGCCAATACGTTAAAAACTGCGTATTGTTGTACAAAAGTTTATTCACAAACATCTTCTAATGAGTTTTAACAAACATTATAAACTGAAAAGACACACTGATAACCGCCACCAGCGGTTTGTTAACAATTTTAGACTTTGAAGAATTTGAGCACATGTCCATTAGGGTTCACCGGAAGTCTAGCCAGGAGTTTAGTTGCGCCAAAAATATGGATTACGAAATATAGGTAGTCAAAAATTAAGACATAGACTTCTGTATTCTGGTAGTTACACACCTGTCACACCTGGTATGGGTTGTTCATTTCTTACCCCAGACCAACTGGTAGTCACTGGACCATGGTGAGTTGAATGAGCTGGGATGGGGATGACCATGGATTTGGTCTAAATGATCTAGAGCTGGCCAGTGGTGTACCTCAGACTAAACACATATACAACTGGACAGCTGTCTCCCTGTCACACCTGTCACACCTGGTATGGGTTGTTCATTTCTTACCTCAGACCAGCTGGTAGATGCTGTACTGTGGTGAGTTGAAATTATTACATCATTCTACACGTGCTACTAAACTCATGTACAGCTGGACAACTGGCTCCCTATCACACCTGTTACACCTGTCAAACCCAGGCCAGTAGTCGCTTTTTTAAAATACACCTTTTCTTTTTCCTGAGTCAATAGGAGCGGCAGGTAACTGAGTCTGAGTGAATAGCCAACAGTGGTCATTCTGGTCGGGCATTTTATGGTGGAGTAAGTGCACCAGTCAGCTGCTCTTGCATTGTCGATCATATGATGAGTATTCGATATTTCGACTTTACGTAACGAAAAATAAGGTTATGGCTTTCAGGGCTGCGTTATGCGAAATGGTTCAACAAAATACTAAGAATTCCTATCTGTAGGCCTACTTAAGAACTGTTTTAAATATCTTTCTGTTTATACTTAGCTGAGGATGAAACCAGACATCATAGCTTTTAATAACATTTTTAAATTTAATTACATTAGAATAGATAATTTGATACAATTGAGTTCGTTGAAAATCATAAAAGTCTGCAGTAAAGCGTCGTTGGTAACAAAATTATTGGTCTAATACTGGATTGTAATCTGTCCCGTCTCAAAATTCAAAATATTTGATTGGTTGATTATAAATACTAACCAATAGACATATACTATCCTAAATTGTATTCATATGAATCAAACAACCCAAAGTAAGAAAAATGGATAAATATTCGATCAAAAACAACGCCAGAAATTTAACTTGGACGTATTTGTTCAACGTTTTGCCATAAAACATACCCGACTTCGTTTAAACTAAAACAGCAATAAAAATGTAACGTATTATAACTTGTGTGTTTTAACAAAAATAATCTTGAATCTAAAATACTCCATGAAAGTCCGTTTCCCGACGTTTAATCGTCTGTCAAGGTGTTTTGCTAAATTGCCCCTCCCCCCCCCCCCCCCCTCGATTTCACGTTTGCATCGTTTTGATGGGTGTGACTGAAATTTGAGTGCATTAAAGCGTTCTAACAGGTGCCCTAATAGACATAAAGCAATACATTTTTCGAATGATAAGCTGAGATCCCGAGTTTCCCGGTGATATGCAATATGTCAATGTGACATGTCAGTATAGATAAAATTACTGAGTTTGACATGTCGGTTTAAGATACCATCTATCCTATTTCTATCAGATATGCACTATGTCCAGTTTGTGCATAGAATTACATAGGAAAATTGTAATTTTGAGGCATTCGTCAAGACATTCAATGACGTTGCTTTGACTAAAGCAAGTAAGTGAAACATCATTATTTGATTATTCTGTTTATATTAATTAAACAGGTGTTAAAGTCTCACTCAAGCTGTAATCACCAAATTTTACCAAACAATCAACGAAACAAAAACCAGAGTAACCATATCTCTACCAACTGAAATGGACACTACACCTGCACCATCTAGAGCCACCACGCTGCCGAACCAAACCCCTAAACTAGCACCTACTCCTAGCCCAGCAGACAAGTAAAGATCTTTACAAAGCTGGTATATTTCAGTTGGGGCCGCTATCGTAGTTTGACGAGAAGATATCTTCAGACTACTGATCTATTTCAGCCTGTATCCTAACTGAAGTTTGACATGTAGAGATCTTCAGACAACTGATCTATTTCAGCCTGTGTTCCTACTGAAGTTTGACAAGTAGAGATCTTCAGACAACTGATCTATTTCAGTCTGTGTCAATACTGAAGTTTGACAAGTAGAGATCTTCAGACAACTGATCTATATCAGCCTGTATCCCTACTGAAGTGTGACAAGTAGAGATCTTCAGACAACTGGACTATTTCAGTCTGTATCTCTACTGAAGTTTGACAAGTAGAGATCTTCAGACAACTGATCTATTTCAGTCTGCGTCCCTACTGAAGTGTGACAAGTAGAGATCTTCAGACAACTGATCTATTTCAGTCTGCGTCCCTACTGAAGTGTGACAAGTAGAGATCTTCAGACAACTGATCTATTTCAGCCTGTATCCCTACTGAAGTTTAACAAGTAGAGATCTTCAGACAACTGATCTATTTCAGCCTAGGTCCCTACTGAAGTTTGACAAGTAGGAATCTTCAGACAACTGATCTATTTCAGCCTGCGTTCCTACTGAAGTTTGACAAGTAGAAATCTTCAGATAACTGATCTATTTCAGCCTATGTCCCTACTGAAGTTTGACAAGTTGAGATCTTCAGACAACTGATCTATTTCAGCCTGTGTCATTACTGAAGTTTGACAAGTAGAGAGCCTGAAAAAGCCAAGGCCAAACAAATAAAAAGAATAAAATCAGTCTATGGTAGATAGTCCGAAATTGAACACATTGTAGATTATAAAATTAATGGTATTTAACGTTAAATCACCCATTTCCAAATTATAAATCTATGCAGAGATATTACATATTATCTATGATAGCCTGTATAGCCTGCTATAATATAACAAGTCATGCCACAATCCTTGTCAAACTGTGTCTGTCTAAGTCTTGTCCTAGAGGAAGCCTGAAGTCCCTTTTGGACGGGTGTTTGGGGCCCCTAGATGGCCTGAAATGAATTTTGAACATTGACAGGGCTTAATTTTCACTTCAAAACAAGACCTTTCACAGGCCTGGGTGTGATCCCCACCTACATACGCCACTTCCACCCCTTTGTTCGTTAGATATTTGGATTATATTGTGATGTCATAACTGAATTTCTCATTACGCCATAAGGGGAAGTAATCCTTGTGTAAAAAGGTTAAATTCATTTTCTCATACATTTTTTGTTAAAAAACAAACCAACTTTTTTTTACATTTTATTACAATATCAATATTTAGAACAGTTTATAAATTGGCCATAACATAAACAAAAATCACATATTAGTACGACAGGAAGATAAAAAATTCTTGATTTTTAGCTCATTGGTGATTTCTTTGATTTTTCATGTAACAATTTCCTCATAGTAATAACGATAATAAACTCTATATTTTACATTTATCATAAATAACTCTATTACAACAAAGTGACATGGTCCTATCTAACATTCAACCCATGGGGACAAACATAGACTCTTTATTTTACATGGGTCAGAATTAGACCCAATACACCAAGGTGACATGGTCCTGTCTAACATTCAACCCATGGGGACAAACATAGACTCTTTATTTTACATGGGTCAGAATTAGACCCAATACACCAAGGTGACATGGTCCTGTCTAACATTCAACCCATGGGGACAAACATAGACTCTTTATTTTACATGGGCTAGAATTAGATCCAATACACCAAGGTGACATGGTCCTGTCTAACATTCAACCCATGGAGACAAACATAGACTCTTTATTTTACATGGGTCAGAATTAACTCGATTACACCAAAGTGGCATGGTCCTGTCTAACATTCAACCCATGGAGACAAACATAGACTCTTTATTTTACATGGGTCAGAATTAACTCTATTACACCAAAGTGACATGGTCATGTCTAACATTCAACCCATGGGGACAAACATAGACTCTTTATTTTACATGGGTCAGAATTAACTCTATTACACCAAAGTGACATGGTCCTATCTAACATTCAACCCATGGGGACAAACATAGACTCTTTATTTTACATGGGTCAGAATTAACTCTATTACACCAAAGTTACATGGTCCTGTCTAACATTCAACCCATGGAGACAAACATAGACTCTTTATTTTACATGGGTCAGAATTAGACCCAATACACCAAAGTGACATGGTCCTGTCTAACATTCAGTCCATGGGGACAAAAATAGTTCTAACGTATAATATGAAAAAATAATTCATATATTTATTCACAATATTTTGATTAACAATTCGTTAAAATATAAATAAATTAAATGTGTTTGGGATGAACAGATTTTTATATTATAATAGTATAGCAAGACAAGCTGCATCGTGTCCAAACCACACCCCCATTCGGCATACTTCATACATAGCTAATAAGATTTGTCAAAACCCGTATTCGGGATACGATGGACAAGTTGTAGACACTTACTACTAAAAGCTATAAAAACTGTAAATCTACTGGAAAATTTCTTAGAGAAAAGTAAGTCATTTGATTATTAAATTTCTGGGAGGGAATTCTGTTTATTTCAAATTTCACAAGAGAATAATATAAGAAATGTGATAGTTTTAGATTACAGTAGTTTATAATTTAGTAGTAGAGAATGTACCATGGAATGTTAAGGTCATCATGACATCAGCTGGTAAAACAGCACGAGCCACTTCCTTCATTGTCTCAGCATCAATAATAACCAGGTAGGAGGCCAGCCCAGCAATGTTGGACGTTATAGGTGCCAGCAATACACCTGGAATTTAAATAATGAATACCACGTTGGTCTAAAGCTGAAATTCTAAATTAGATGTATTATGAAACAAGTAAATACATTTTTATGATCAGCTACATCTGAAAAAAGGGCTAACCTAATTCTATATTTCTGTTTTATTCTATAATTTCGTTTTGCGGTTCGGATCGTTAGTACTTAGTTTATCTATGGTATTCTACTTCTAAAATACAAGCTCATATACTCTTATGGTATACATTTTCTTGAAACCTCTCAAGATGATGGCATACTTATTCTGAAAAACAAGGTAACATAGTTTTATTGTAAGAAAAGGTGCGTATTATACATGCCTGTGCACTATTTTCCTAATTATACGGTAAATAACTTAACTTATAAATTATACCCTCTAAACTAAATCTTAGAAAATAATTCGAATTCTACTGCTGTACATGATTTTCTTTAGGAACTGCCCTTTGTCAAAATTATCTTGGAAACAAATTAGTCATTCGAATGAAAATCGCACAATGAAATTCTATCAAAAAAGAGCACATTTCAATGTTTTATAATTCCACTCTCTGACGTACTGTACATAGTGCAGAAAAGTATAAATTCTATCAAACGATTTTTTGATGTGTTATAATTCCACTCTGTGACGTACTGTTACCTACATCATAAACAAAATTTGTGAGATTCTACTGATTGGGCTATTTCAGAATTTGTTCTATTGTTTTCAATTCATGACCTAGAAAAGGTGACTTTATTGCAACAGAAATTACGAGAGAAGTTGGGTGAAATAAAACTGAAGACATAATTTACTATTCAGTATAGTTGTGTATAGTGGGCAACTATTTGATTAATTGGTGTTTCTAATGAATTATCATGTATTCTTAATCATATCATTATGTTCTTACTGCATATAATTACGAGTTTTAACCAATCATAAATGTCCATGTATGTACAGTCTGGATAAACAAAAAAAAGACTTTTTGACCTTTCTTGATCGGTCACTCATTGGAATTCTACTGGTAATGAAAATGTAGGAATCCATCTTTAAGGGGTCTTGTCAAACTGAAGGTGCGCATCAAAGACATTGACAAAATATAAAAAAAAATACGACTGGAGGTTTTCAATTCATTTTTATACGCCCACATGAAATGGGGGGCGTATATTGTCACCCATATCCGTCCGTCGGTCCGTCTGTCCATCCGTCCACAATTACTCTTAAACACTCTACAAGACACAATTCTTAACGGATTTTGACGAAACGTAGTGGGAGTGATGGTTATCACCCAAGGATGAACCCTATTGAAAATCAGAAGAATCGAAAAATATTTAGTACGAGTTAATGCCCATGTTCTTGAAAACGCGTTCAATTTTTTAGCTCGTAAACCTTTTCGAAGGCACAATTCTTGACGAATTTTGACGAAACTTGTTATTATTCAGTACTGCGCTGAAGGTTGAATATTTGCCATCTAGAGTTTTCATAAGCTAAAAATTGAACAGGTTTTCAAGAACAAGTGCAATAACTCATACTTAATATTATTCAGTATCGCCCCAAAGAGTTCAAAAGAAGTGTATGACTGAAGGTTGAATATTTCATACTGGTGATTGTTACTGTACTGCCAAATAGTTTTATTCAAAATCAAAGCTGTGGGCGTATATTACCTTGCCTGGCAAGCTATCTTGTAATCCACAACTACCAAACCAACAACAACAAGATTGAATTAGTATGAGTTCCATCGCACGTCTCCATTCCTGGCAATGATCAAGCAGACCGTTGTGCCAAGGAAAGTCTGAGTCTTAAGGATATCCTATTCGGAATTCTGCAGTATCGTATCTTCTAGGATCAACCAGAAATGGGCTGACATGCTACGGAACCTCGACACCGCAAGATACCAGATTGATCCGAAGATACCAAACCAAACCAAATCATCCATCTGTAGCCATGTGCAAAGTGTCAACCAGACTGCGGACCAACAACGTACTACGAGACCATCAGTTCAACGCCATTAAATGTCGCTGCGACCACGTTGCTACAAGGTCGCATGTCCTCATTCAATGCACTGAACTGAAACCCGCTCGTAAGCCACTACTAGAGTACCTGGAAACCAACGGCATACCACTCACCATACAGAATGTTTTGGCTCCACCCACATACCACTGGTATACCAAAATGGAACCCGTCTTCCAATTTATAACCAAATCTGTCTTGAACAGTTTCACTGCAGAAACCTCAGAGAACATCTTTTCCCCCTTTTCTTTAAAGCCTCCCCCCCCCCCCTCCCCCGCCTCTTTTCTCACTTCCTTTTTTTTTAATTTTTTTTCAGGTCTTCTAGTTTTCCAACAGATAACAGATAATATAACCAAACCAAACCAACGACTACCATTCGACTACCAATCAACAAGAAATACCATGATCAGAACGAGTTTGGAAGAATGAAAGAGATCGAGTAACTCACGCCACACCGCCATGTCATTCGACCCGACCAGATCTAACGAAGAATCAACAACCAAACCAACAACACAGAATCATCCAATTTGAACCAATCCAACACCAACTACGACTACCAACAACTACCTAGTTTGCGATATCAGCATCCCCTGGAAGCGAACGTTAACTTGTCATCTACCAACAAATCAGATATCTTGTAATTGATCCCTGATGGTTGAAGATAGCTGCCCAAAACTTTCAGAATGAAGCTTCTTTTGCCTTACAGTACAGTGGTGTAACTGATATTCGTGCATATTAGGATTCAACATCGAATTTCGTCAAAATTAAAAAAAACGCAATTTTCTTGGTTTATGTCTTAGATGTTTCCCCAGATATTCTATAAAATAATTAAAATTGGTTTATCACTTTGATCCATATTTCATGAGCAACCAACTCGGAAACGGCGGCAGAATGCGTCACCTATTTTCGTGTACAATGTACAATGTATGATCTATAAATAAGTCATTGAAACAACATAAGAATACGGCCCACATTGTGTTCCATAGAATTTTTCTGCTGACACGGAATCCGCTAGTTGATCACGTGATTTCATTCGTTGGACTACATTCTAGCAGACGACACTTGGAATTCCGATTACAGCTTGGGATTAAAAGGTAATTCGGCCGATAAAAAATTGTGATACTTGGTATTAATTGAAATCCGCCATTATGTATTTGTCAAAGTATACATTAATACATTTTACCTTGCTTGAAACTACTGGATTCATTCTACTAGCTCATATTGTACAAATAACCCATGTTTATCAAAACAAGCAAATGTCACACGAGGTCGTAAATTATTAATCATTTTCGAAGATGCACGAAAAATAGGTTAGCACGAAATTAGGTTACTTGACTGTATACTATGTAGGATAATGATTATAAATAAATTTTATTCCACTTACCTTCATCTTCTCTCTTACCACCAGGTTTGGGTACGAATATCGGTTCCCCTGGGAAATAATCAAACTCTTCACCATCAGTAGAATATGTTACCACTTTACGTTCTTTTAAATCTAGTTTATGGATCTAAATATAAAGATTTGTGTTTAATGGAAACTCTCACAAGCAAAATTGTCAATGGTTTTGGCGATTGACTTAAGAATCTGATTTTAAAGGGAAAGTTTGACATTTGTGTAAAAATCATCTGAAAAAATGTGGTTCTGGAGTTCACTTTGAAAAAATATCTCAGAAATACATATTGAAGATAACATCTGAAGTGATTGCTGGTTATATTACTCATATTCTGTTCTGCTGTAAAATATGGCAGTTATAACTGTTTTCACTTCCATTGTGAATATTATTAAATCTCAATCAGTGTCGGAGTCAGGTTTACAACTGAGGGGGGTGGGGGATATCTGAGATTGCTAGGGAAGGGGGGCTTTATCTCCGCCACTGCTATCAATAGTGCGAATCTGTTCACGAACAAGGCAAGCTTGAGCTTTATTAGCTGGTAAAAGATATTTTGACAAGTTTATTCTAATAAATGGAATACAAACCTTATTGAATTTAGAAAATATAGTAGAAGCGTAAACATAGCGATATTCTTTGGAGTTATAATGTTGATAATTTATCTGTGGAAGTTCCATAACCAAACCCTCTACAAAAACAATACTTTTCATTGACACAATTTCTTGGTTATTCAAGTGACAGTGTATTACTAGTCATGTCTAATAGTAGTTTTAAACACACCTTGTCTGCTAGGAGATTAGGTGCCGGGGGTTCGAATCCTCAAGGTATGAACAATTCTGATGCTTGTGCCTGTGCTTCTGAGAGTCGGCCCAGTCCCTGATACCTACTTATGATGCTGACATTTTCAATTTGAAAGATATCATAGTGCAAGCATTGTTACGAATCAAGCAAAAAGCTGATACAAGAGAACAGAGTAAAATGCTATATTAACTTAAATCAGTATAAGTATTGGCTTTTATTTTTAATATAGCTACTTCAGTTAGGGTCTAACTACAGCCCTCTTAATCGTTTGGTCTAATTTTAATTAAGTACCTAAGTAGTTATCCTTGTAGAATATATTTGTTCTTTCTTTCTTTCAATGTAAATAAGCTCTAAAATAAATTTTATAAATTGAATATGTCCAACAGAGAAACCATTGGTGGCAAATATTTACCTTCAATGATCAAATCTGGTGTCAGGTAAACACTACCATCTTCTTGTAGTGTAGCTGTAGCTTTACTGTCCAATGTCACCAAATTCTTACCAACCACTGCCTGTAAAGAACAAGGGAAAACTGATTCAAGATATCACAGACCTGTACCAGGCTAAACATTGAAGAATATAAAGTCTTACATTGGTTTATATCGGGCTAATACTTAGACCTTCAGATAATTAATTTTGATCTCACTTCTGTAGGAAGGTCATTTTGGTCTTTGAATGTGGAATAGTTCAGTCAGTAGGTATGAATTCTAAATGCAAAGAATAGGGTGCACGACCAGTACTTCAGACATTCAACAGCTGAATATTTTTTCAACATACTTTGATGGCCTGGCAGAGTTATTATAATTAGTGATAAAGTAGAACTGTTTATTAAATGACACAGTTGACCTCTCCATTGCCAAATATAACAATACCTTTAGGCTATGGGGAAATTCAGATCAAATTTAACAGGTTGTTAAAAAATGTCTGATTCAGCACCATTCTACAATCCTAAACAATAAGACTTGAAACACAGTGGTTTGAACTATAAAGATAGCTTGCCAAGGTAACATACGCCCACTGGCAGCTGTCAGAAATGATAAAACAGTCTTTAGTGACTAAAGTATGAATTTTCTCATCTTAAAGAAATTTTAATAGTTTGGATTCATTGATATAAATATTTACTGCCAGTTATTTATGCTGAGAAATTCATCCAATTTTTTAAAATCGATATCAATATCCCAAATACATCAAATTATCGCACCGATATACTTGATCACACCATGTTTCATTAAAATCAGTTGAAAACTGTAGTCTCTATTGTGTTCACAAACAAATCTTGATGCGTGTTTCCTAAATCAAGGGCAATAACTCAAAAACCGTTCGTCGAAAGATCTTCAAATTCAAAGTTGAACGAGATCTCATCAATATAAATGATCACACCAAAATTCATTAAAATCAGCTGAAAACTGTAGTCTCTATTGTTTTCACAAACAATTTTGATGCGTGTTTCCTAAATCAAGGGCAATAACTCAAAAACCGTTCATCGAAAGATCTTCAAATTCAAAGTTGAACAAGATCTCATCAATATGAATGATCACACCAAATTTCATTAAAATCAGTTGAAAACTGTAGTCTCTATTGTGTTCACAAACAATTTTGATGCGTGTTTCATAAATCAAGGGCAATAACTCAAAAACCATTCATCGAAAGACCGTCAAATTCGAACTTGACCAAGATCTCATCAATGTAAACGATCACACCAAATGTCATTAAAATCAGTTGAAAACTGTAGTCTCTATCGTGTTCACAAGAAATGTTGACGGACAGACGGACAGGGGCGACGGCCATGTGGGCGTATAAAAGGCGTAAAAAATACATTGTCACAAATGATATGATTTCGACTTACTTTCGAAACATCCAGGGGTAAGACAAATCTTCCAAATTTAGGTTTAGAATCTGTTTCTTTATATTTATAGTCTTTAAAATACTCCATATATAGTTTGTCTATGAAGCCAACATCATCATAAAATACAAAATCTACCACCAGCTGTTTGTCTTTCTCATAGCAGTTGATAAAATGGAATACAAACATTGGATCGGACATGTATTTAGTTTTTAGATTTACTCCTAATTTGGTCATCACATTGAATAAAGTCTGGAATATATGATATAACTATTTTATTTTTGTTGTATTTATGGAATGAATTGTCATTTATTACCTTACAAAACTCACTTGAGACAGGTTTTATTATTCTGTATGAAAGTCCAATAAACGGGTGGGGGCAATTCCCTCTGTAAAAAATTGATTGACCCCCTGAAAAAATTCAAACAACCGACCAATTCCATTACCGCTCCTAAACACTATACATCAATGACCCTCCAGATATATTATTTGTCCTTCTGAACACTGAAGCCTGGTGCAATATCTCCTAGGTTCTGAGTGGTTCAAATGATGAAGTATTGTCAACTCTCAACCCTATTATTCAATGCTGTTCCATGCTTATAAATAGACAGTGATATAATTAGATTGTGGATTCTAAGCTTAAAATAAGTAAAGGGAACAGAGAAAATAATGTGATAGTCCACTATTCAAATGTTTCTGAGAAGGTAATTAAACAGTTCAGATGCATAGACACAATGTCTGCCGAAGGACCTACTAACTTTCCCACTGTAACTTACCCTAATAAATATGGTCCTATTTCAGAAGAGATGTGATATCGTCACAGATATTGCCAGAGATCTAATGTCACTTATTGGACCCTGTGACAATATCACACCATATATCACATTATTTATCAGGGTAAGTATAATCCTGCAAGCAAGTAGCACATAGAATATAATGCATGCTTGTCCATGTTCTCCAACAAAGAGATTTAAGCAAGAAAACACCAAGCACCAACCTAGCCCATCTTATGAATAGGTGAGCACCAATTATCTATGCAAATTAATTTAGAAGGTAAAATATGGTCAGAAATGTAAGTAACGTATTTTAGAGACATAAATTTTATTCTTATTTCTTTTGATGTGAATTTAACCAGTTGATATAATTCATTTCTACCTTTTTTCATTTCAAATAGGTAAAGGAATAAAAATGGTAACACATACCCAATGTATATTCCAATTAAACACACGGAAATTGAAAGTAATAAATACCATAGTGTTTGAAATATAATACAAATTTTGGGAGCAAATGATAGAGCCAATTGGCCTTTCAGAACTTCATAAACAAAATTTGACAAAAACACCCAACATACCAAAATAAATCAATCCCAAAGAAAGCAAGAAGAAAAGAAACGAACCTTCTCCTTTGGATATGCTAGTATACAGTCATTGACTGTATAACTGGCAATCTTTTTAATTAGCAGCCTGGGTATACTGAAAGCATAGGGTTGTTCTAGGACAACGAAAAAGTTTTCTGTCATGCCAAAACTATGATTGTATCCCACAGTGCCTTTCCATTTTGATGGAAAACTTCCTACTACTTCAATCTGATCCCAGCTTAAATTACCTGCAATAAACAATATCAATTAATTATACGTTCTGAAACTGAAACACAAATTCCAATGTAGGTTTGGTAAATGATATGTCTGATAGATGCATGAGTGGTTGTCTAGTCTATAAAATATAAGAAAATCTGAATGCCAAGTAAACATTTCATTACTAATTGTTGACAATATTACTGACCATTAGTATTGGGTGGTATTTTGACAATATTGAAGATTACTAACCATTAATATTGGGTGGTATTTTGATAATATTGAAGATTACTAACTATTAATATTGGGTGGTATTTTGATAATATTGAAGATTACTATTAATATTGGGTGGTATTTGGGCAATATTGAAGATTACTTACCATTAGTATTGGGTGGTATCTTGACAATATTGAAGATTACTAACCATTAATATTGGGTGATATCTTTACAATATTGAAGATTACTTACCATTAGTATTGGGTGGTATCTTGACAATATTGAAGATTACCTACCATTAATACTGGGTGGTATTTCGACAATATTGAACACTACTAACTATAATTATTGAATGGTATTTGGACAATATTGAAGATTACTAACTATTAAAATTGGGTGGTATTTGGGCAATATTGAAGATTACTTACCATTAGTGTTGGGTGGTATTTTGACAATATTGAAGGTTACTAACCATTAATTTTGGGTGGTATTTTGACATTATTGAAAATTACTTACCATTACTTTTGGTTGGTATTTTGACAATATTGAAAATTACTTACCATTACTTTTGGGTGGTATTTTGACAATATTGAAAATTACTTACCATTAGTATTGGGTGGTATTTTGACAATATTGAAGATTACTAACCATTAGTATTGGGTGGTATTTTGACAATATTGAAAATTACTTACCATTACTTTTGGGTGGTATTTTGACAATATTGAAAACTACTTACCATTACTTTTGGGTGGTATTTTGACAATATTGAAGATTACTTACCATTACTTTTGGGTGGTATTTTGACAATATTGAAGATTACCTACCATTACTTTTGGGTGGTATTTTGACAATATTGAAGATTACTAACCATTAGAATTGGGTGGTATTTTGACAATATTGAAGGCTTTAGTATAGTTAAAGCAAGTAGCAAGGTTATATAGAGTTCCATCTGGCTCTAGATGAGGGTGAGCAGTGGCCAGATGAACTGCTAAATAGTCAGTAAAATCGCTCTGGAAAGAAAGGAAATAAGTTTTACACCTTTATAGACTTCATTAAACATTAAGATGCACGAGGATCCTGTCTACCAGCTTGTCCAAGAATTATCATCTTGGCATTGATCTTTTTGAATTGGACACCCAAAGCTGAGATGACTGGAATATTAAGGAAATATGACTTTTTAAGTTAACATGACTTTCACCAAGATTAGAATTCACGACCACCATTTGTTCGTTGGTAGCTAGATTCAAACGCTATAATCGTCTGTGTTAAAGCCCTATCTAAGAGAAAGCAATATTTATCTAGATTTTAATCAAATTGGACTATAAACCATCCTACAAGAATGACTTCCAACTTTCAGCAAAAAATCAGTCACATCCTACCTGCCCAGATTTCGATAGAGTTTTAGGATCAATTCTGTTCACTTTGGGAGTTTCTGTAAAGGCCCATAATTCATCTCCTCTTTCCACAATATTCACGGCTGTATTATCTGTTCCCTTCGGTGGTTGAAATACGGAAAATATCCTAAAAAAACGATTTTGGCTTGAACTGATAGTGCCAGACAATATCTGATTTAATTCCACAGGAATAAAGCCACATCAATGCTTTACTGTCTGATAAAGCTCAATTTCAGCTATCTGTATCACTTTAAGAAATAAAAATTAGATTGTCAGTTCTTGTGTCATTCACCTACTAGTAGCTGGAATTAAATGACTAAAATCTCTTTAGAATAGAAACGTGCTTAAAGATAGCCTTGCGAAGCCAGGTGACATACGCCCACCAGCAGTACAAATCATTGTTTGTAGCCTGTACAGTGAGCATGAGCCAATTGTGAACAGAGCCACAAAATAAAAATCAAAAGAATCCATAAAGAATTGAAGCCTGTAGAGTGAACACGAGATGCACAATATAGCTAGTAGAATGAAAACGCCAAGTCATACACGATATTTCGGTGGAAAATTATCACGAAATAATCGATAGGGATCATCCTCATTATGACATTGATCCACACAATAAAAATCAAAAGAATCCATAAAGAATTGAAGCTTGTAGAGTGAGCACGAATTGCCCAATACAGCTAATTGAGTGAAAACGCCAGGTCGGACATGATTGTAGCCTGTAGAGTGCGCACGAGCCAAATGTGAACGGAACGATGGATTGACAGGGTGATTACAATATACGCCCAAAATATATTTGTGGTCGTATAAAAATCAATTTTAGTGATTGACCGAAATGATCAGACGAAGAGAATGTAAAATTTGAATTTAAGTCAATATTTGTTATAAAAAAAAAATATTTCAACTTGATAAGCCATTGCTTGTAAATAATTTCAGAAGATATCCTTGCTGAGCTGTCTATCTGGATCGAAACCAATAATCTTTCGGTAAAGCTATAAAAAACATTGTCATAACATTACATCAATTATTTACCCTATACAGGTGTAAGGCTCTTACCTAGAGAAAATACTTTTACAAGGATCTGGAAGAGCATTGGAAGCAAACTGATCAACAACAATACGCTTGGCTTTATAACACTTCTCCCACGTCTCACTATCCAGTAAATGACTCTGAAACATTACTCCGCCATCTTGGATTGTGAATCTGACCAGTACAGCAAATCCATCAAACACATGGTTAACTTTTTGATTGTTTATTTCAAATAAACCAGATCCATTTCTATAGAGTGAACCTTTAACCCAGGTTGGAATTGTACCTGTGAAATAACAGGTTGATATAAGCTTAGTCCAGAACAGATATTTGTGTAAAAAAATGTAACAAATTGCTGGTTTTGCAGGGTTCAGAAAGAATTAAGGCTGTCAATCATTCAGAAAATGATCAGATTAAGATATCTTGATACAGTGATTAATTTAATCCTTAGAACCTCCTTTTCAATATATGATCAATATCTGGCCCCTCACAGAAATTTGAGAAAGTTTTGAGACCCTGGGGCCTGACCTCAAAATAGTTTTTAATGTGGCAGAATAATTTTGCATTTTTGTTTTGTTTTGAAAATTGCCAATCGGATGAAAAATCTCAGATCATCTAATCCTTGGACCCAGCTAACAATACTACCCTGACCAAGGTCTTGTATGAGCGTTTATCAGATCTGGTTCAGACGTGGCCAAGGCCTTGTATGGGCGTTTATCAGATCTGGTTCAGACCTGGCCAAGGCCTTGTATGAGTGGTTCTCAGATCTGGTTCAGACCTGGCCAAGGCCTTGTATGAGTGTTTATCAGATCTGGTTCAGACCTGACCAAGGTCTTGTATGAGCGTTTATCAGATCTGGTTCAGACCTGACCAGGGTCTTGTATGAGTGTTTATCAGATCTGGTTCAGACATGGCCAAGGTCTTGTATGAGTGTTTATCAGATCTGGTTCAGACCTGGCCTGGGGATATAGTTTGTCTTGATATTTCAAATATAAGCAATCATTAAAATCTTCTGATGTCACAAGTTTCATCAATGCCTGTGGTAATATTAATAATGGCCTGGAAGTGCCAGCGCAAATAACTACAGTTTGTTTGTCTGTTAAATTCTGAAAAACTGATAAGTCTCCTTTATAAGTCATCTTATTGACATAAAATATAATGACAGACTAACCTTTGACCTGTAGTTTGATTGGTTCAACCTGATCATCTCCCGGTTTAAAACTCATCCAATAAGGATATTCTCCATCTGTAGGGGATGATCCATTTTCAGATTGCTTAGCATCTGTTTTTGAACTCATTTTCTGAAGCAGAAAAATTCAGTCACCTTTCAGAATTTATATTTCAAAAGTTTGACTAATTAAACTGAGTTGGTGCATTCTGACATACATTTAGGGAATAACATATAAAAATAATGTTCCAAAATTCTCATAATTGAAATGTTAGTACAAACTATATTTCAAGAGGGACGAATTACACCCCCACCCCCACCTCTTGCACACCCACTAGTGCCTCTACCGACAGGTTCATTCAAAACGAGAGCATCAGAAATATTTCATCCTATAATCATGCCTAGGGAAACTGCTCATTGCTCGCATCTATTGCTCGTGCTCCAAAATGGTTCCTTCCCATTTTCAAAACTATAACTGTCCTGATGAGAATTGAGTATCCAAAATATGATTCATCAACAAAAGAAAAGCTGTAATTAATTTGAATAAGAGAAGATTGATTTACTGTAAATATACCACCAGCAATAAATTTATAACAATCCTTGAGAATATTCAGCCTTAACATAAGATAAATTCTTGATAAAATAACACCACAACCACAGAAATTACTAGAAAATATTTCTGTCAAATAAAATAAATCACCCCATAACAATGTGACGAGGCAAAGAGTGTCAAGTTAGATTCCTTCAACTTAGAATTTACAATTTTAAAAATAGATCCCCCATTGAATATATTTACCAATTTGACCAAAAAATAATATAATAAACTTATAAGAAAACAGTCATTGGTCAAAAAGTGGGATGTTATTTTAACTGAACCTTAGACTGATATTACAAAATGATAACATCACCTGACCTTAAAAACCATCTATTCTATTCTTTAGTTCAGATTTTGTCCCATTTCCAGACCTCAGGGCCTACCATTTAATCCACCCTAGGCCTGTACATTTGGGAGAATCAAACCCTCCCTTCCCCGAAATATAATAAAAACAGCACACTTATACCTTGAACTTGTATCTTGTTCTACAGATACACTAATAGTGACAAACTCTACACGAATTATTATCTTTTTACATGAATTATTATTATTATCTATAAAGATGATTTATTTCAGTGGGTTATCGCACTGCATTGTTTTCGGAATGTGCAAAGTTCAAGAAACTGGATGACATACTTCTTATTGTAACATTTCATCCCCTATAAATAGACATTGTGTCGTTTTAAGAGAAACAACCAATTGTTATCAGAGTTGTTACCAAAACAATTCAATACGCATATGTTTGTGTGGTTGAAACGTCGATCGTTTTGAAAAAACAGCTTTAATCAACAATATATAAATATAATAATCAACACACATCAATATTAAATAATAATTAAGAAAGAAAATTGACCATGAATAACAGAAATCTTACCACAGACAACACCTGTAAAATAAAACCTTTTGGTGTTTCAGGTGTATTTTGTAGTATTGAGTATTAGTGTGTTTGAACATATTTTGATTTTCATCATCAGCGATTTCATAAAATTAGAAAAGGATTCCCTTCGTGGTCCAGTAATACCAGTAAAGCACAAGACATACGTAAAAATTCATATGTTTCATGTTTTAAGTAAGAAAATATATAACACTTGTAACCAAAGTAAATTGTTAAATTTTCAAGCTAAACCTCTTACATAATTATTTTGTCTGCAATCGCATTCCATAAAACATTTGACCTTTTGAACTTTTCACGCGTCACTAGTTTTTTGTCACTTTACTTAATACATTTGTATCTTTACATTAGACAGAATCGGTTTTATGAAGACGAAGTCTCGAAAAGTCTCACAAGACTGAAATATATATAGTTTTTAAGAATAAATTCTCCCAAGGAAAGGCAACTCCTACCGTAAATAAAGAACATGGCGGCGGTTTTTCGGAAATTGATTCAAACAATTCGTAGGATTGTTATTGAATTGGAATCACATTCTGAAGGTTGTGTATATCGGATCGCTAGTCTGACAAGCAAATTATATACATTAAATACAGACTATGATGTTAATCAAGGTGAATTTGATGTTTACAACTTCTTACGGAGGCATCCTTTGAAAATCACTGGAACAATCCCACATTTTTCTAGAATATATAACAACATTAAATTCGAAATAGAACACGCAAAGAATATCCCGGCCCTAAACCGTAAACCAGACATTCGTGCCCCGTATGAGATGCAGAATGATGTGATTCTAGCTAAATTGCAACCATTCTGTTCCTATCTCTACATCAAAAGGAATACCTTCTCCCGCCATCATAATATTGATACTGGAGTGAGGTTTATTTTCACCCAGGAAATCAACAAACCGATCCCTTTCAGTATTATGATAGACAACCATAAACTGGAAATTAACTACGAGAACCAGCCCAAGACGGTTCAAAAATGCTTCTTGTGTGGCTGAGAAAATCATCTGGCCAAAGATTGCCCCAAACCATCCCGTTTCCCTGACCCTAAACCTGCTATACAAACAACAAAAACAACAGTCGGCAAGAAAGACGCCCATATGGCTGACAATACGAAAATTTTAACATTCCAACAATGGCTTCTACTTCGATCTAGTGTCAAAGTAAGTATATTATTTTTTTTAGCTATAATGATATAGGTCTTTGTCCCATTACAAAGAAGTGAAATGTTACGCATTAGTTCTGTAGCTTATCCCCATCTACTTGAAATGAAGTGTGTAGATTGATGAAATTCCTAAATATTCAAATGTTCCATAATGTGGAATTTCTGAAATTAAAACGATGCATCATGTCCTTGACAGGCATGTAGATAATCCTAACATTAAGACAGAGTTAATAATAAAATCACATTCAGAACGTGTTTTAACATGATCCATTATCTTTCAGCATCATAAAGCTGTAGGAAGAGAATGTCTAATATTGGAAGATATGACTAAATACCCAGCAAACATCTTTCAAGCCTATCTCCATTTTGGAGCACAAACAGATGATGGTTACTTGTATACATGTGTTGAATGTGGAAGTTACCCAACCATCATTATTATGGACGCCAACAGAAAAACTTGCTTTGAGGTAAAAGGTATATTCTTAAAAAAAGGATGTGGCAGTGGTTCAATGTGACTAAATACCCAGCAAACATATTCCAAGCCTAACTCCATTTTGAAGCACAAACAGATCATGGTTACCAGTATACATGTGTAGAATGTGGAAGTTACCCAACCATCATTATTATGGACGCCAACAGAAAAACTTGCTTTGGGTTAAAAGGTATATTTTTTTTTAGAAAATTAAAGGATGTGGCAGTGGTTCAATGTCCTTGGTTTGCTTTTCATTTATTCAAATAAACTGTGTGGTCATTGTTATGAGATGGCAGATTGTTTCGTGGACCTATGCCAAATATAAAAAAGTCTATTAAATCTCATTGTTGGAATTTACCATTTGGTTGACTGGTAATGGCACAAATGTATTTTAGGTAGTACAATCAAAGATTGACATGCTCCAGTTTTGGAAGCAAATTAAACCGCATACTTTGGCTGGAACACATTCTAAAAGGTATGATATCAATTTTTTCAGGAATGCAATTCTGCAAATATTGACTTACTTGTGGATAGTATTGGTCTTGTAAATATAAATTTTATGATGTCGTCCTCAATTGATAGCAACTCTTGACTTTTGCAGCAATAATCAACTCCTTTGCCAGAGGTATCGAATATGAGTGCAGTTTCTTCTTCCATCAACACCGAGTTTAAGAAATTAAAGAAGATAAATCAGCCTATTGATATTGATCAATTAGATAAGAAATTATCGGGTGAGTATTTGGACTCTTTACTGTGTGAGACATCTGTAAGTAAAGATAATTTCCTATGATAAAAACTATTAAAGGGATTGTAAAGAGGTTTTCAAACGTCTCTATGTGTATCAGGGAAACTGATAGTATCAATTTACACCATTCTAATTTTACATCAGACGTCTGTAACAACTAAGTGTTTTATGACGTATCCCCGCAAAGGTCTCGATACAAGCAAATTCTGCGGGCTGACTTCATAAAACACTTAGTTTTAGTAGAATTGCAGGAACAACAGACATCTGATTGGAAATTGGAATAGTACAAATTGATGCTATCAGTCTCCCCAATAAGCATACAAATTTTAGCAATCCTCTTTACAATTTCTTTAATACATTCTTCCAAGTAGCATGTTGTATGAATAATTGCATAAATACCGCTATTTTTGTGTCACATTTTCCAGATTAGTATTAATTTAGATGGTGAATGGACATCATCCGTAGGTTGGCTTTGTGAAAGATGATGCAAAAGAAGTTGGAATTTCAGATAAAGGTTCAAAAATAGATGTGATTGTTCGCCTCCAATAAATTTCTATTCAGATTTCCCTTTCCTTTATACATCAATTATTTGCACAACCTTCTGGTTGTGGCTTTTTAAAAAAAAGCCGGTCTTTATTTTAAATTTTAAATAGATTAGTCATTGTTTGTTTTAAATATTTTGTTTGTTTTTAATACCACCATGTGGTGTATTACCTGTGATATTGTTTTCAGTGTTTTTTTTGTAGTCATTAAATGACTGTTTCTGTGATATGGTTTTTATCGTCTGTTTTGTCGTCACTATGTGACCTTTATGTGATATTGATAGGTGTTTTATTGTTTTAGTTTTTTTTATTATATTAACGTATTCTGGAGCTATATAGCCCATTTGGTGCTGATGCTCCTTAATACATTTCATTTCATTTCATTTCCCCTTCTTTTATAGATTAGTAACATTGTGTTACCTACCAAAATAGTACAAACTACTGAAGTTATAGGAACAGTTGCGCCATTTGACCAAGTGTACCTTGGTTCTACATTTCTAATACTTCTGAACACTTATTTACATAATATTCAAGATTCAAATAAACCTCCAAAAAAGGTGCAATGTGAAATAGCTTGATTTCATGTTGTTTCTTATTCCAGGATTTTTGGCAATGTTGTGTCACCACGGCGTGTGCTACGGAGACAAGCTAATCATCACAGCTGAAAGCGTGCGTGACCATGTTGATATGATTCTCTCATTGAAATATCAACCAACAATAATAATTAACGATGTTTCTGATGACATTTCGCCATGGAGAAAAAAGGAGGCCAGGAATGTTTAGTGTAGTAGAGGCAACATAAGAAAAAATTTCTTTGACAACAGATGGGAAACTAAACCTGAACATGGAATTTTTAAACGATTTGTTATTAGTGACATAATCTGATTCATCACCAACCCTGTAACAAATACTGACAACCATTACATGTTATAACAAGATGGCCGCCACTACTAAGACACACTAAAAGAGCTCTAGCGGATTAATGGACTAAACTTACAAGAAAGGGAACATTTTGGATTAAAATTAAGATCAGTGTATCAGTTCACGTAGCAAAATAATTTTCATTTTTAGTTTATAATATCATTGATATACTCTAAAAAAGAAGAATGCCACCTAAGAAGGAAAGGGAAGTGAAGACATATATAGACCCAAACCAGATTTCTTTTTCAACCTCTGCCACAGGAGTACTAATGTGGAGAAAAGTGTTATTACTTCGATACTGGGAACGTTTGGGTAATCTGAAAGATATCTTGATAGAATAGGATAACAAAAAACAAAATCATTTTAAGGATGAGAAAGAAAAGGTAAAAGTGATAATAAATTACCTCATCAAGACTTATATAAGACAATCATAAAAATATATTATAGAGAAGAAAAAATAGTGACTATAACTGTATATTATTCAACACAAAATATCATGATTCAGGGAAAACATTGCCAAACGTGGATGAAAGAAGAATTTGAAAATTTGAAAATCCAAACTGAAAATATGGTTACCATGGTAATGAGTGGAATTGAACCAAAACAAATGATGGATGACCTAACACATTCACCCCTACCTGACATTAGACCAAGTGTACCATTAGGAATAGACAGAAACCTGTCACCACCTTCTGATCAGACCAGTATGAAAGAATGTCTTCACATTCTGGAACTAAAAGTGGTGGAATTGGAACATGACCTATCAAAAGTGGACCATAAAACTGATTTGAGAGAAATAGTAGTAAAACTGTCAAACGATGTGTCAAAAATATCTGAACATGTGTCACTCTTGGCATGTAGGATAGGTGCCATAGAAAAGAGCGATGAAACAGAAAAACTCCAACAAGAAAACAAATTAACAAAATTAGAAAAAAAAAATAAAATACAGACTGGACAAACTTGAAGAAACCCAACTACAGCTTCAGGGATCTCAACAATACCTTGACGATGAGTATCGAGAAATTTCTTCAAAACCAAACAACAAAACCAAAACATGTCACACCAAACAGAGATACAAGTCATAAAGGTCCAGGAATATTGATGATTGAACCTACGATGAGTAAAGACACTACTTCAGAAAGATGTCAAGAAATCTTTACAAACCAAAATACAAAACCACAACAGGCCACATCAAACACAGATACAAGTGATAAAGGTCCTGAAATAATGATGATTGGATCCTGGATGTTTAGGGACATAATTCCACAAAGATTCTCCCAGAAAACCATGAAAAAACTAATGCCAGAACCAAAATCGCTGACAAGTGCAATCAAGACCCTCAAAGAAATTCAAGTTCAACCAAAGAAACTAATTTTGCTCACAGGCAGTAATGATGTGTCAAACCGTAGAATAAACTTATTAACAACTCTGTCCCTCCTTTCAGAATTGATCACCACCCTGAAAGACAAAGACTACAATGAAATTTTCATATCGGAGATCTTGCCACGTTATGATGATTATGAGTATATGAGGAGGAGAGACATTTTCAATCAACATCTGAAAACCATTGTCCAAAATACCCCATTCAAAATTATCATACAGCACCATTTTGTAGCTAGTGATTTTGTAGATGGTGTCCACCTAACATACAAAGGGACAGCCAAATTGGTCTGTAGTATCAAAGACCAAATTGGAGAGAGACAAGCCCAGTACAACTATGACAAAGATATAGAACAACGACACCGATCTGATCCCAGAAATCCAACACCAGTGGAAGAAACAAAAACCAACACAGATCAGGATACAGAAACCCAAATTATAGATACCAAGGATATGATCGACAGGGCAACCAATAAACAACAATTAAATCCTAAAGACAGAGCCAAATACGTTTTAGAACAATTGATGATAGAGCTTAGCCTATAAGTATGATGCGATTACATTCAATATGATAACTGCCAACACATTGATAAATACTTGTATAATAATTACATTGGGGATGATGTATTAAACCGAAATTCAGAATTAAACCTTTAATTGACATTTCCACATCATCATCGGTATGGTAGGTTTATAGGAGACCTTTTAGGAAATCCAACTTGTTTTAAATATAACGGATGCAGCACTATCGATTTTGCTATATGTAATAACAGCTTTTTAAAACACGTAAAATTTATGTGTGTTAACCCTTTAACACCTTTATCAGATCACTGTCAACTTGAATTAACACTAATTTTAAACAAAAGAGTATATCCTACAAAAACAGATTATTCTACAAATTTATTATATACCATGCCTGTGCCATTTTACTGGAAAAATGGTGATAAAGGTAGATTTATAAATCATCTTGAATAACGAATACATTGAAAGAATAACTGAATTACAAATGAATAAAGTCGCACAAAATCAAGAAGAAATTAATAACTTCAATGACAAAATTAACAGACACACTCACTTCAGTTGGATCCAAATGTTTAACAAAAAGATCATCCAAAAAAAGAAAAGAAAAGAAAAATCCATGGTTTATTAAAGACGTAAAAACCGAATATAAAATATTAGAAAATGTCGCAAAAAAAAACTAAGTAAAAACGAAATTTTGAGGCGCACCTATTTTCAAGATAAAAATATACTTAAGAGAAACATTAAATATCACAAATTTTTTTATTACAACAAAATGAAAAAAATTCTGGAAAATAATAAATTCACTTAATAAGAAAGCCCCAAATGATCACATACCAAAAATTTCGGCCCCTGAATGGCAACAGCACTATAAAAATCAAGGCATGAAAATAAACGATAAACACGAGAAAAATGATTTATCCCAAGAACTTGAAGAGCAATTAAAGGGTCTAAAAGAAATGACATAACTGATCATCCAATAACAATTAGCGAAGTAAAAAAAAGAAATTGGAAAATTAAAGTGTGGAAAAGCTGTAGGCCTTGATTGTATTGACTCAGAAATGTTAAAGTCGAGCAGCAACATAATGTTACCTATTACAACAAAGCTTTTTAATGAAATATTACAATCCTCGATATATCCAGATTCTTGGAGAAATACCTATATAACATGACATAAACAACCCCAAGTAACTATAGAGGCATATCTATCTCAAGCCAATTATCAAAATTATTTAATTCTTTATTAAATACAAGACTCCAAGCAGTCTCTGAAAATTACATTTCCAATTTCCAATTTGGTTTTAGAAGTCACCACAAAACATCTGACAACATTCTCATATTAAAAACCCTTACTACTAAATATCTACAAAACAAAAATGATAAATTATATTTTGCCTTTATAGATTACAGAAAAGCTTTCTATTCAGTCGACCGTGAAGCCCTTTTATTTAAATTATCTAAAATGGGTATAGGCAAAAAGTGTTTCCAGATTATCCAAGATCTTTATCGGCACACACCCTCTATTGTGAAAATTGGTGACAAAATCACAGAAAAGTTCTATATTGATCTTGGTGTTAGACAAGGGGATTGTTTAAGTCCTACTCTTTTTAACATTTTTATAGATGATTTAAACAATACATTTGACAAAACTTGCGATCCAATTAATCCTTTAATAGTATTATGTTTGCTGATGATATAGTTCTTATCTCTAAAAGTAAGCATGGCCTACAAAACTGTCTTGAAAATCTAAAAAAATATAACCTAAAATGGAAACTCTCATTAAATAATGAAAAAACAAAAACTATGGAACTTTCAAAAAACAAATATAATTTGCCTATTGATTTTACCTACAATGGTTCTAAAATAGAAAATGTTTCAGAATTCAACTACCTGGGAACTATCATTACAAAAGACGGTTCATTTAAAAAAGCAATGGATAATCTTGTACATAAAGGTCGCAAAACATTAAACTGTCTCATGAGTAAAATTTCAAATTTAAACCCAAATGCTTATCTCATTAAAAAGTTGTTCATCTCTCATATCAGACCCATCCTCACATACAACGCTGACATTTGGTACATGGAAATAGATGAAAAACAACAAAAATCTAAAACAAGATGCAATTTTAAGAATAAAGGGTTTGATCATCTAACTAATATCAATAATACACCTCTTGAAAAACTTCACACTAAAATGTGCAAACAAGCTCTCCAAATTTCAAAGAAAAGTAGCAATACAGCTGTACGTTCGGAAATGGGAACACCGCCGATTGAATGCTTTATTAGAAACCAGGCGGTGAAAAATTACAATCGAATATTAAAACATCCCTCCTCAAGCCTTGTACGACAGGCTCTTATTGAAAATGAAAAATTACACTCAAATGGAAAGTATAGCTGGATCTCATTTATATACATTACTCAAAACCTTCATTCACAACCAAATGTAAACAGTATAGATTGACTGGAGACGGCATGACGTCATTAACGTGACGCCACGTCACCCTGCCGTCCGCCATCTTGGTCAACCCAAAAAACTCCTAGGTTGTAGCCTTGTAATAAAGTCGTCATTTTAACTTTAAACATGAGTTCCCCTTATTTTTAGTTATGAAACTGAAAATGCTAATACACTGAAAAATAAGGTAATCCATCTTTAAAAGACAATTAATTCTGTGTAGCCTACACATGGAATTGAAGGCTGCTATTGTTTCCATCATCTAATAATTACTTCAACTGTATATCTGTGCTGAATATATACCTTATTACATCTTCTACTGAATTGTGAGTTTCTGGAATCAAACCCTCCCTTCCCCGAAATCAAATTGTCAAATAATTCTGTAACAATAACTTTATTGAAGAACTTAATATAATATTTCATTTCAAAATGTCATTTAATTCAACGCTGTCTGCCAGTTTCAACAACACTGCTACACTGCAAACTGAATCTGATCGAGACGAAGGTAATTATTATGGCGTATATAGTAAATATCCATAACCCTTTATTCGTCATGTAATGTCTCCAAAAACTATAGAGAATGTTCGACAGATGGGTCTAAGGTCTATCAATATTAGTTACTAGCATTACTAGCTATTAATAACAATCAGCTTGTTCACCCAATAATCGTGGATATTTTTTTAACTTTCCAGAGAACAAAGAGGGACATTGCCCTTTGCTGGCTCCCTAGTCATATGGATATACGGGGAAATAATAAGTCAGATGCAACCCCTTTTTCTCACTTATAATATTTTAAAGATTATTTGAAAAATGATGATTAAACCACTAAAGACTTGTTATCATTTCTGACAGCTGGTAGTAGGCGTATGTTACCTGGCCTGGCAAGCGATTTTTATTAAATGTGTTGCTTTTGATGTAGTCAGTGCCATGGCTATAATTTTTTTTTTGAACTTCTTCTGCCGATCCTACTATACATTTATGTTTTATGTCAAATTCAAGGTTTTATTTTTTGTAAATAATGATCAATTGTTTGTGTGATTGTGTTTTTAATTGTGAAGTTTATAGCATGTTGAGAGGGTTTTAATCACCTGGTATTCATCATTCTCTATAGAAATAATTTTAGCAGTATATTCCACATCCAAACCATTGTCTGTCCAGATGTGAGTAAAGTAGATTCTTTAAAATCACACTCAGACAACATATTGACACACCCCCACCCCCACCCTACCATATACTAAGCAAGCAATATAAAATAAACACATACCTGAAATACTGAAGAAGTATTATACAGACAATTTAATATGCCTAGTACAGAAAACACAAAGCAAACTAAAAGAAGATTACAATATTCAAGTTTAAAATTCGAAATCTAGAACTACTATGACAGACAGTGGAGACAGGTAACCAAGACTAAGTTTAGATGTTGCTAATGTTGAAGGGTGTAATTAAACTGGTTTTAATTGTAATTAGTTGTTTTCAGTTCACAGTATTAAACTAACAGTTACACTTCACTGCCTTTTCTACCTTTCTATATCTTTTCTCTGGTTCTGATCTTTATTCATCTTGGTGTCTATATTTGTTCTTCTGAGCTGTAATGACCCCCTGAGTTGTATTTTCCCTATGTCTTTGTGGTCATTCTATCTATATAGTTTGAATTTGTAGGATGGCTTGTTCTGTCATTCAGTATTGTATTCTCTGTAATATGGTGTAATTGAAGTTTCTTCAATTAGGTTTATAGTTTTCATTTAGTGTTTATATACACTTTTCCAGTGTGTACTTTGGATTTGGAACCTAGGATAACTTTTAGTATAGGTATGTAAAAGTTCTGTACTTTATATCTTTGTTTGTGTTGGTAACTAAGTGTCGGCCATATTGTAATTTGGTTAAGTTAAGAACATACATTTCTGCAGTCAAATATTACATTTCATTAATTCTTATATTTAATTCATTACATTCATAACCTACATTATTTTATTACAGATTCCCTTTATATAACCCTTGGTGGTAAGGTGCTACACTTTGGTTAGCGTTTAAACCCCTTTTAGGGTAAGCATTGTTATATATATATTGTATTGTGCATAGCTAAGTATTTCAATTAGTATGTATTAGTATGTTAAGCATAGGTTTTGTATTGGTATTTATATTCTTCTGTATATTTCATACAGTTCGGTAGTTATAACCTATGTTTGCCTATATAATGATTAAGTTTTACCTTTATTTTATGACCTGTTTGTAATTATGTTTATTTGTACTTTCAGGGTTTTTGTTGATTATTAAATCTATTAATTTGAACCTTTGGTGTGATGATTTAACCCCCATCACCCCCTCGACAACACTAAGTAGAGCAGAAATGTGCTCACCCTAGGAGTTAGTCAGTCAACAAGCTAAACTATAAGAAAGATGTAATTAGTTTTAAGCTGTGTTGATTAATATATGATACAATTAACTCTGCTACATTATCACAACTTGTAACTATTGTAAATATCGGGTACAAACTTTAAAACGTTTATTTTTAAACTGTATAGCCAAAAAAAAAAAAACAGCACACTTATACCTTGAACTTTTATCTTGTTTTA